GGAGGTAACGCGGAGTCCGGCCCCCCACAACCACATCAGTGACAACTAACTGCAGAACAGCCGTCCTCAGAGCCCCTGACCCCGAGCTGGAGGGAGCCCTACGGCTACGGGTTAGAGCAGCAGCTGCATCGGGACTGGGAGGAGGGCGGAGGGGCTGGTCCCACACCCACGGGTGGCAGATAAAATCAGGAGGACACCTTGGCTGGGAAGGTCCTCCCTGAGGACTGAGGGGTCCCTGTCTCACACCAGGTGCCCCGCTCAGGGTCCCAGTGCCAGGAAGAGAGTCCCCATCACTTCTGGCTGGAAAACCAGTGGGAACTGAGGCTCAGGGAGGCTGAGGCGGCTGGAGCCCCAGGCAGCTCCTTAAAGGGCCCGCGCACGGACTTATGGACTTGCTCCCTCTAAGCTCACAGGGGTGGCAGCTTGAGGGGCGCCAGAGACATACAGGGAAGAACTGAGCTGTTTGACCTCGGGAGGAGGGCTGGAGAGGGGGCTTTCTCCTGGACAGACGTGCTGTGGGAGGCCCGTGTTCCTTTGGTGAGCCCTTCCCTGGGGCAGCAGACAGCTGCTATATCTGGGACTACAGCAACTTGGCTCACACTGTTTGCCCCCCCGCGCCCCCCGCCCTGGTGATTCCCTGAGGCCCCGCCCCATCCAACTTTCAGGCCCACCCAAGCTGTTTCCAAAGGCTTTACCATAGGATTGGCCTGTCTTGGATCCTGCTTCAGAGTCTCCTAACATCTCTCAAACAAGCAGCATCTGGTCTCAGCGAGCCCCATACCTTTCGTTAACTGGCGCCAGGCCTGGCACTAGAAGCAGCCAGTCTTAGTTCACAACTTGGCTTTGCCGGGCACCTCCAAGCCCAGCACAAGAAGAGACATCTTCAAATCACTGTGTAGCTTATGTCAGGTGGCCCCAGATAGAACACAGGCAGTGGCTGACCTTGCCCTGGAGCCAGCACACCCAGTAGACAGCTTTAGACTACATCGAAACACCACTACCCAACCACCTCCACAAGTGACACATTCAATGAGCAGACTCAGTGGGTACCAGAGCCCTGCTGAAGTAAGTTTTGCTCTGTGTGGTGGGCCCCTGCATAGCTGATCCTCCAAGGTAGTCAGGGGCCAGTGGTCAGTGGATACAACCAGTTCTTGCAGCTGATCAGCTTGAGTAAATACCTCCCATTGGCATACCAACAGCAATCAAGACTCAATTACAACAGAAGAGTATACAGTCCACACCAGGGGTGCACCTCGAGGGCCCAGATGGGGTGATCAGGGAGGCTGTGCCTCTGGATTCTACAGGACACCTACAACACTAGGCCACCCTATGAAGCCAAGGAAACATAGCAACTGTACCTAATACATAGAAACAAACACAAGGAAGCAGCCAAAATGAGGAGACAAAGAAACATGTCCCAAATGCATGTCAGTAAATGAAAGAAAAGAACAAAACTCCAGGAAAAGAATGAAACAAAATGGAGATAAGCAACCAATCGGATGCAGAGTTCAAAACACAGGTTATAAAGTTGTTCAAGGAACTTGGTGAGACCTCCAAGGAACTTAGTGAAATCATCAACAACATAAAAACAACCAGTCAGCAATGAAGGATGCACTAACTGAAATAAAGAATAATTTATAGAGCATCAATAGTAGAGTAGGTAAAGCCAAGAAACAAACCATCGATTTGGAATATAACAAAGCAGAAAACACCTAATCAGAACAGCAAAAAGAAAAAAGAATCCAAAAAAATGAGGATAGTGTAAGGAGCCCTCTGAAACAACTTGAAGCATGCCAACATTCACATCATAGGGGATACCAGAAGGAGAAGAGAGAGAACACAAAATTGAAAACCTATTTGAAACAATAATGACAGAAAACATCCCTAATTTGGTGAAGGAAACAGACACACAAGTCCAGGAAGCACAGAGAGTCCCAACCAAGATGAACCCAAAGAGGTCCACACCAAGACATACCATCATCAAAATGCAAAAGGTTCAAGACAAAGAGAGAATCTTAAAAGCAGCAAGAGAAAAGCAGTTAGTTACCTACAAGGGAGTTCCCATAAGACTGTCAGCTGATTTCTCAAAAGAAACTTTGCAGGCCAGAAAGGAGTGGCAAGAGATATTCAAAGTAATGAATAACAACGACCTGCAACTGAGATTACTCTATCCTGCAAAGCTATTATTTACAATTGATGGATATATCAAGAGTTTCCCAGACAAAAAAAATCTAAAGGAGTTCCTCACCACCAAACCAGTATTATCCAAAATGTTGAAGGGTCTTCTTGAAGGAGAAGAAGAACAAAAAATATGAACAATAAAATAGCAATTCATACATATCTATCAACAATTGAATCTATTTAAAAAAATGAACAAGCAGAACAGAAACAGACTCCTAGATACAGAGAACTTTTTGTTGCTTGCCAGATGGGCGGGGGTTGGGGGAGGGTGAAAAAGGTCAAGGGATTAAGAAGTACAAATTGGTTGTTAGACTGATGAACCTCAAAGGGAAGAGGAGAGGGAGGGTGGGATGAGATAAACCAAAGAACTTCTATGCATATATGCATAACCAATGGACACTGACAATAGTGTGGGGAAGGCAAGAAAGGGGTGGGATTGGGGAGGAGGGGGTCAATGGGGAAGAAGGGGGAACATCTGTAATACAATCAACAATAAAGATGAGTTAGAAGAAAAATAGCAGCAGTGTACATTGGGCTGGTGGATGGCGTACTTAGAATAATACATCACTGTACCTCGTGCCTGTCCCACCTGTCCCCAAGCCCCTGCTGACCCAGCCTAGAGTGGGACACAGCAGGTGATTAGATTAGGAGGGAGATGACTCTGCTGTCACACCTCTGGCAGCCTGAGGTCTGAATGGAACTGGGCTCTGAGTCTTTCATCATTGGCCAAGGACTGCTCAATTCAGAGTAGGATGTCTGGTATGGAGTCAGAGCTCATGAGCCCGGCCACGGAGCAGGAACAGGGAGGCAGGGCTGACAGAGGTTGGGGGAGGCAGAGAATTGGGGTAGTCACCAAATCTCCTTTAAGCTCTTGAGTCTGGCTCCCTGCCTTACCAAATATGATCTGTGACTCTACTCGGGTTCTTTCCCTAGTCTGTTCTGGAGGGCCAGGGTGGCAGCCAGCCCTGCTAGGTCACCCCCATTCGCCCCCAGGGCAACGAGACCCAGGGAAGAGCTCCAAGAGCATGAAAGCGTATCTCTGCCGCCTCCGGCGTGCCCGGCACGGAACTGCGAATGGAGGAGAAGCACGGCAGCGAGGAGAACGAAGTCTCGGGACCGTTGTTCTGGAGATCCGGGAAGCCTCTCCTTCCTCAAGCAACCTTTTAGGCCTCTGTTCATCATGGTACATAGAAAAATTTTCGCCACTGCTGAGAAGACAAATTAATACTAGGGTGAAGGGTGACATGTGTCTATAAATTACGGCCGCCCTATGGAGACAGTGTGTGTGTGTGTTTAGCTGCCCCGTCTCCTGCTTTTGCTCGTCTCTTCCCGTGCAGTGCAGGTAATGGTGTGTGCAGCGTTCTCCGGGGTGCTTGGTGGGTGACTGTGTTCCACCTCGCACATGCAACTCCCTCACATTTCCCTTTAATGCTCTCCATTATTCGGGCTGCATTAATAATGTTTGCGGGCTGATATCTTTAAAATTAATGAGGTGTTTACTCTTAGCCAAGAAACTCATTGAAATTAAAAAAGCTTTCTTTTTTCCCCTTCCTTTCCCTCACTAAAAAAAGTGGACAAACAAGTCACAATGCAAGCTTTGCTCAAACCAAACAGGACGGGCAGAACCTGAACCCTACCGTTAGGAAGGTGTAAGCCGCAATCTGCTAGTACCCGGGGTCATGCATTAGCCAGGTTCCAACTACAGCTGCTTTTAAGAGGCTCCAATTTAATAAGCACTTTCCTTGAGAGCTGCACACAACACCTTTTAACCCACGGAGGGGCATTTGTGTCCTCAATAACAGCCTATTTCATCGCCACCAGCCCTTAACACGTAATTATTCATTGTAACCATAGCACCTTAGTGTAGTCTGAATTTTTCTTCTTATTCAGAAGGTTTATTTCCAAGAGAATTTATCTTGTTTACAATCCTGGTCTGGTCTGTCTGTAGTCTCTATTTCTCAATTGAATCCATTACCTGGCATAAAGGATGCCCCCTCCTCCCACCCCCAAACTACTACCACCACCGGCTGACTTTGTGCAGAAGAGCAGAGCTGAATACTAATGACGTGCGACTTGCTGGCCTGAGCTTGCTGTAGCTCACCGTCAGGATGGTTTGCCAGGACGGCCAGGGAAGGGAGAACGGCTGTCTCTGGAGTGCAAAGCAGTTGGCCTCACTGTCCTGCACCCCGCCGCCCCCCAGAGTCCTGCTGGGCACGTTTCTCGTGGACAAGGCGCCGCGAGCATTCGGGGGGCGCGTCTGAGCAGTTGGGGTTTTCATCGCATCGTTTTAGGGCAGCTGTTCTCTCTGGTCCAGAAACCACAGGGGTCTCTGCAGACCATGCAAGTGACTTGTTCGCTAATCCCTCAAGATATTCTCGTTCGTAATATGGTAATTTGATGCATCTGCATCTGGAATTAATTAATAATTTAGTCAATTGAAAACAGGACACTGACGTTGAAGAGACACTCCTCCCAATTTGGTGGTGGTGTTGTGTGCGGGTTTTCTTTTTTTCTCTCTGCGTAGCAATTGGAAGTGAGGGTGTCAGTATGTGCAGAAAGGCCTGGGGGTGCTGCGTGGTGGGTGGCTCACGTCTGCGGTGTCTGGAAACATTCTCTCTCCACAGTCACGTGTGGAGGCTCTGTGCCTGCACTCTGGCCCCCGGAACGCCGAAAGCAAGTGGATGTCCAGAGCCACCTGGACTGGCCGTTCCTGGATGGCAATGGCGAGAACGTACAACAGAGCAGAGACTCCTCGGGCCAGTGAGAAGGCCAGAGACGGCAGAGAGGTGGGCAAGGGGCCGGGGGGCGGGGGGACCTACGTGAAACTGAATCTGCGCGAACTCTCCAGCGCTGCTCTGCAGGGTGTTGTACGTGGAGGACACAGAAAGAAGCTCCCACTCGCTGTCATTCAGAAACGCGTTTTTGTCATGCTGAATGTCCTCTCTGCTCCTCAGGAAGGCCAGGTCTACGTCTTCCACTACAGACAACAGAAACGATCGACTGCAAGTAAGAGAGAGGCGCTGACATCAAATCCTCCTCCCACTCCTGCCCCCACGGGCACAGTCCTATTGAGATGGGGCTCAGCAAGCCATGTGGACCTAGGGAAGTGGTGTGGAATAAAATATTTCTAGTCTTGAAAAAGAAACCACGATGAATTTAGGGTTTGGATGCCACTGTCCAGAGACTGATGGAGCTGCTCCTGCGACTTCTGTGGCTTCCTCAGTGGCAGCGGAGGCCGAATATTTATTCCCCAACCAGCAACAGCAGTTGGGCTATGTATCTGGGCACAGCTCTGCATGTGTCTGAATTACAGCAGGAGCCAAATAACTGCAGGAAGAAATTTAGATTTGTAAAAAGTCAATTATTTGCAAGAATAAAATAGACCTGAGGCGTGGCATAATGTAATTACACCGATGTGTGCCAACAACCCAGCACAGGTATGTTCCCCCTAGAAAGCTGTACCTGTCACGTGTTACCTGTGTGCAGAATGCTCTTGAAGGTTAGGCTGCAGTTCTGGATATCAAATGGAAAAGCATACGTCTCCAAACTGCAAGCAGAGACCACCTGGATGGACTTGGAGTTCTTAATGGTCCCAGATGAGTTCACATAAACATAGGGATGCTCAGGTAACCTTTCAATGTCCACACTATATGAAACACATGAGAATTTGTGGTTAAAGAGAGCTTTAGCCGTTTCAATGAGCAAAGCTGACTATGAGATAGTAATGACCATGACACCCAGGACACTCATGATACCAGGAAGCACAAAGACAGAACCACTTTTCCCTGAGATAATTCGCCCTAGCAAGATGGATTCAGCAATGACAACCCTATAAATTAACTCACTTGCTATTGTTACAACACAAACATAATCCATGAGTAACCTCAAGCATCAGTAATTAAATATGTATTTTAAATAATGTCAACTCATGGTACTTTTAACCTGAATATTCCCAACAATATGTTCCTCTTCAAGTTGTGAAACAAAAATGAGTGAAAGTAAACAGAAACTGGCCTGCACATTCTAAGCAGTCTAAACCCCACAGAAATGCACTCAACACACTTACAATTCATTTATGATGATATCAGGGGCCCAGATAGCACTTAGAGGTAAGGAGATCTCGCTAATATCATCAAACGTGCTGGAGTTCCATGACAAAAACTCATCATCCCAAACCTGTTAAGAGTAGCCAAGAAGGAAACTTATAAAAAAGGGGCAATATCAACCTCACCAAAGAACTGAAGAGAGATTTGGATAAATAACTCAATTGATCAACATGTTGGTACTATCTATTAGGGTAGAGGACTTCCCATCCAACTCCTGAAGATGATAACCTCAACCAGAAACTGTACATTTATATGGATTCTAATAAATGAGGTTTGTTGCAGGTCTAAGGATCTATAAAAACAAAGACAATATGTATTTCTCAGAGTAATCATATTTTTCAGCAGATCAAGGTCAGGAGTGCAGCATGCATAGAAGGAAACATCCATTTACCTCACTGTACCATATGTTTGTCTTTAATTTTTGGTTCTGCACATCCTGCAAAGCAAAAAAGAAAAACACACCAAATATTAGCATGTCAGTAAATCAAAGCCCAATTCAACAAAATGACAATTCAGAGGAAGAAAATCAAATGTAAATAAATAATGCTGATTTTTAAAACATTATCTTGACTCTTCAGGGTCTGAGTATTTTCAGTTCCTATTTATTACACACACCTGTCACGATGCGCTTCACTATATTAGCTGACAAAATGGCACTTTGACTGCTCTTGACATCTTGAATGATTTTCTAATCTCTTTCCCGCTCTAATTAGTTACTCTGCCATTAATCAGACTGAAAAAATGATATGTAATCGTAGGCAATTCTGGGCTAAAAGAATGAAACCAAGCTTTTATTTGTAATCAAGATATTATTCCTACTCTTTCCATGAGTGTTATCTCAGCTGCTATTGGCAACCATTCCTCGGTTACCTTATGTTTGGATTTCTGTTCTTATAAACATACTAAATGAGCTTATGTAAATGAGGTTTATTTTGATTATATAAATAGATGCGATTTCCTCTGTCTGCAATGAGTCAGTGATTTTTTTAAAGACCCTCAAAACAACAACAAAAAAACCTCCTTACTAATTTTTTCATATCTAATCCTGTAAAGAACCTTCTAAAGTACTATGTTTTTAGAGATTAAAAAATTTTCATACCATATTAAAAATTAACTTGAAATGAATCATACATCTAAATGTAAGAGCTAAAACTATAAAACCTTTAGAGAAAACACAGGACTAAGTCTTCACGATTCTGAATTAGGCAATGGCCTCTTAGCTATGACGCCACAAGAACAAGCAATGAAAGGAAAAAATAAATGAGACTTTATCAAAATTAAAAGCTTTTGTGTTTTAAAGGACATCATCAAGAAATAAAAAGAGAGCTCACAGAATGGGAGGAAATATCTGTAAATCATGTATCTGGTAAGGGACTTGTATCTAAAATATATAAATAACTCATAAGTCAACAACAGCAAAAACAAACAACCCAAATTAAAAATGGACAAAGTGCCAAAACAATCTTGAGAAAGAAAAACAAAGCTGGAGGCATCATTTTCCCTGGTTTTGAACTATATTACAAAGCTATGGTAATCAAAACAGTATAGTATTGGCATAAAAAAGGTACATAGATCAATGGAACAGAATACAGAACCCATAAACCCACACGTATATGATCAATTAACTCACAACAAAGGAGCCAAGAATATGCAGTGGGGAAAGGATACTCTCTTCAATGAAGGGTGTTGGGAAAACTGGACAGCCACATGCAAAAGAATGAAACCGGACTCTATCTTACACTGGTTACAACAATTAATTCAAAATGGATTAAAGAATGTAAGACCTTAAACCATAAAACTCCTAGAAGGAAACAGGTGGTAAGCTCCTTGACACAGTTCTTGGTGATGGTTTTTTGAATCTGACACTAATAACAAAAACATCAAAAGCAAAAATAAACAAGTGGGACAGGACTACATTGAATGTAAAAGCTTCTGCACAGCAAGGAAACCATCAACAGAGTGAAAAAACAACCTACCAAATGGGAGAATATAATTGCAAATGGTATATCTAATAGAGGCAAATATCCAAAATATACAGAGAACTCATATAACTCAATAACAACAAACACCTAATTAAAAATGGGCAGAAGATCTGAATAGAACTTTTTTCAAAGAAGACACACATCGGTACCTGAAAAGATGCTCAATATCAATAATCATCAGGGAAATGCAAATCCAAACCACAATGACACCTCACATCTGTTAAAATTGCATTATCAAAAGACAAGAAATAACAAGTGTTGACAAGGATGTGGAGAAAAGGGAACCCTTGTGCATTGTTGGTGGGAATGTAAATTGGTGCAACCACTATGCAAAACAGTATGGAGGGTCCTCAAAAATTAGAAATCAAACTACCATATGACCTAGCAGTTCCACTTCTGGATATTTATTCAAAGAAAATGAAAACACTAATTCAAAAATATATATGCACCTCCATGTTTATTGCAGCATTATTTACAATAGCCTAGGTATGAAAACAACCTAAGTGTTCATAGATGAGTGAATGAATTAAAAAGCTGTGGTATAGCCCGGCCAGTGTGGCTCAGTTTGTGGAGCATCATCCCATGCACCAAGAGGTCGCCAGTTTGATTCCCAGTTAGGGCACATACCAGGGTTGCAGGCTCAATCCCCAGTAGGGTCATGGAGGAGGCAGCCAATCGATGATTCTCTCATGGACATTTCTATTTTTCTCTCCCTCTAAAATACCAGTAAAAACATAATTTAAAAAAAGTTTTTAATTGTGGTATGTTTATACAATGGAATATTATTCAGATATAAAAGAATGAAATCATGTCATTTACAACAACATGGATGGACCTTGAAGATATTATGCTGTTAAATAAATTGGACAAAGAAACACAAATACCGTATGATGTCTCTCATAGGTGGAATCTAAAAATAAAAAATCTAAATAACAAAAAAAATCCAAGCTCACAGATAGAGAGAACAGATTTCTGGTTGCAAGGGGGGGGGGGGGGGGGGGGGGGGGGATGAGAAACTGCTTTCTTTCTTTCTTTCTTTTTTTTTTTTTAGTTTAATTAAATTAAATTTTAAAATATTTTAAAAGAAAAAAGAACAACTTGGTTTTCAATCATAACAAATGCTTAAGGGCTTTGGAAATCACTACAAGTCTTAATGATTGTAAGCAGCCACTTATAATACATTAGTTTTCCAAATGATAATTAAATTTGACCATAAAAACTATGACTATTTGAAGAGAAAGAACTATAGTAAAAATAATCTGAAATTTTGTATTTCATTAGAAAATCTTCATATTCAAAATCAAACACATGCCTTGGCCCATGTTGCTCAGTGATTAGAGTCAGCCCATGCACAGAAGGGTCTTGGGTTTGATTACCAGTCAAGGGCACATACTTGGTTTGCAGATTCAATCCCCAGTCCAAGTTGGGGTCATGCAGGAGGCAACCAATTGATGTGTGTGTCTCTCTCTCCCTCCCTCCCTCCTTCCCTCCCTTTCTCCTTTCCACTCTCTCTAAAAATCAATGAAAAAAATATCCTCAGGTGAGGATGAACAAAAAAATACAAAAAAAATGTTTTTAATAAAACACTCAGAAGAACATCTATAAAGGCTTTGAAGGTTATATGCTTTATGTAATGTTTTTTGGCTGCATGGTTAAATACACAATTCCAGTTGATTTCTTTTTAACTATAAGGACACAATTTAATTTCTCCATGAGAAAATACCATACTGAAAAAAAAAATGGACAAAAAACTGAACAGACATTTCTCCAAAAAAGCTACACAGTCATGTGCTGCTTAACAATTGGATATGTTCTGAAAAATGTGTCATCAGGTGATTTTATCATAGTGCAAACATCATAGCGTGCACTTACACTAACATAGATTGGACAGACTGCTACACTCCCAGACTCACGATACAGCCTGTTGGTTCTGGGCTACCAGCCTGTGCAGCGTGTTACTGTACGGAATAACAGGAGAGTAAATCAAGCGCAAGAGGAAATGATGCCATCAAGAGATGCAGTAAACTCGAGATGTGCGGGGCTGCTGCCAGCGTATCACAGTGCACTGTTCAACTGCAATCCTTTTTCATAAGTAGAGAGAGTACGCTCTAAAATAACAACCAAAAGTATGTATAGTAAATATGTAAGCCAGCAACATAGTTGTTTATTGTCATTATCAAGTGTTAGGTACTGTACATATTGTATGTGCTATACTTTTCTATGACTCAGCACAGTAGGTTTATTGACACCAGCATCACCACAAACATGTGAGTAATGGGCTGTGCTATGATGTTACCAGGCAATAGAAACTTTTCAGCTCCTATTATAATTTTATGGGCCCACCACCACATATGCAGTCCATCATTGACCAAAACATTGTTCCGCAGCACTTGACTATACAAATGGCTAATAAGCACATGGAAGGATGATCAAAGTCACTGCTATGGACAAAATTGTATCTTTCCAAAATTCATGGGACTATTTGGAGATAGAGGTTTTAGAAGGTAACTAAGGTTAAATAAGGTCCTAAGAGTGAGGCCCTAATCCAATAAGATTGGTGGCTTTAGAAGAAGAGAAAGAGAGAAAGACCTCTCTCTTTCCTCCGTGTGAGGGCATGGTGATATGCAGCCAGCTACAAGCCAGGAAGAGGGCTCTACGCAGGAACACAATTGGCTAGAATTTTGGGACTTCCCAGCTTCCATAACTGTGAGAAATCATTTCTGATGTTTAAGTCATCCCATCTGTGGTATTTGTTATGGCAGTCCAAGTTGACTAATATAGTCGGTCATCATTAGGGAAATGTAAATAAAAATCACAATGAAAAGCCACTTCACTCATTAGGTTGGCTACTATTTTTTTTTTAATGTTTTTTCTTTATTGACTTAACAGAGAAGAAGAAAGAGAGAGAGAGAGAAACATTGATGAGAGAGAATATCAATTGTCCACCTCCTACTGTCCCCACTGGGGATTTGGCCTACAGCCTGGGCACATGCCCTGACCAGGAATCAAACCAGCAGCCTCCTGGTACATGGGTCAATGCTTAATCACTGAGCCATACCAGCCAGGCAGGTTGGCTACTCTTTTTTCAAAAAGAAGAAAATAACGAGTATTGATAAGGATGTGAGGAAATTGAAACCCTATGCACTGTTGGTGGGGATGTAAAATGGTGCAGCTGCTACAGAAAACAATGTTGCAGCTCCTAAAAAAAAAAATTATAAATAAAATAATTATGCGGTCCACCAGTTTCATGCCTTGGTGCATATCCAAAAGAATTGAAAGCAAGGACTGGGATGCGTGTTTGTTCATAGCAGCATATGCACAACAGCCAAAGCGTGGAAGTGCCCCAAGTGTCCATCAACAGATGAATAAACAAAATATGCATACAATATAAACTTACTCAACCTTTAGAAGGAAGGATACTCTGACGTATGCTTCAATATGGATGAACCTTGAG